ATCTGTTTGATATGTCTGTTCTCAGTGGCAAAGTGTGAGTTCTTCAATGCTGGAGGGAGTGTGAAGGACCGAATCAGCCTGCGGATGGTGGAAGATGCAGAGAGAGCTGGGATTTTGAAGCCTGGGGACACTATCATTGAGCCAACATCAGGAAACACAGGTAGGAATTGGCAGGTTCCAGAGACCACGAAGTAATGTTGTGGAAACAGTCCGATGCCTTCCACAGCACAAGCAGGAGAGGTATCTGATTATAGAGGTCTGGTCACTCAAAGGACTAAAAAAAATCTTCTCTTGGTAGGATGGGACAACATCACAGTGGTTTTGTTCCCTACTTAAGGTCTGGTGGGGTGGAAATACAATATTATGGTGTTCCTCTATGTGCCTGGGAAGCAGGTGGTTAAGATTTTGCAGGGACAATTTCTACATATATAGGAGTTTCATTGCCTGTCTGTCTGGTAAATCGTATAGCCTGCATCACCATTATTAATGGATGTTTGTCCTTTCCACACCCTGTCATGTACTTACCTGTGGAGCAGATCAAGTTCCCAGGGCCATATAGGGAGTCTGTGGCTGAACTAGGAGCTGAACCAGGTCTCCTGCAGTCTTCTCCAATGTCCCTATCCTAAAGGTCATCCCTCCTACTCCTTTGTCTGAATGAGTAAATCAGTAGTCCAATATCTTGTTCAGACAGTGGCCAGTGGTGGATGTCTGATAGGAAGGTGTAATTCCCACCCCTCCCTCCAAACTCCTAAGTTATTCAGTGATTGAGGGAAGAGCATTTGATGGGTACAGTCTACAATTCATTTTCCACTTCTGTCCCGAAGTACAAAGATTGCTAGTTCGTTCCTCTCTATAGTAGCTTCTATAATTGTGACCCTGCCCAATAGCTGAGGACAGGAAATGAATAATCCTGTACCCAAGGGATATGGCAGAGAGAGACAGCAAGACTTAGGATGGATGGGGGCCCTAATTCATTACAAGGGCTTCCAGTTGCTACTGCATCAGAAATAGCCCAGAACAGCATGGTTCCTCTTGAGAAGAGTAGAGTGTGATTCCTAACCAAGAGCTCCTGTCTCAATGCCAGCACTTCCAGCAGTACAGAGCACTCTTCTGAGGAGTTGGCTGGGAACTGAGCATTGCCTGTTGAATTGTCAATATCAGTTCTTGTAGCACAGAGGTGCCCCTTTGGAGAGCTGACACAGGTGGCTCCTGCTCAGCTTGCAAATGCAGTTGGTATCTTGGGCCACATTTAATTACATTCAGCTCTAAAGCATAGGTAGGAAAGAGATCTGGAAAGGA